CGATTTACTGATTGTCGTAATTAATTAGCATAATTAATTCGTTCAATTATGTAAATCGCACTTCGCCCGAGTATACCCCATAGACCGGACGCATTTCATAGCGGTCCGGATTTCTTTATTACTGTTTTTAAAAATTTCCAATTCATCATGTAATTAAGTATGTAAATATCTAGTGTTTAGTAGTTTAGTAGTAGTGCTAGTTGTTTTTGTTTCTCTTTTTCCTTTGTTCTTATGACTTTTTAACTTTTTTCTTTGTCCTGAGGAAGGGACAGGGCGTCCCGAAAATTTGACAATTTTTATTGTTCGTGTCGTTGGTCATTTTTAGTGCTTTATATAAATTTCCATCCGTGACCTTGTATCTACTTGGTAGATCCGACATTTAGGATATACAGTGTTATTGGTTTTTTAGTGCTTTTTATATATATATATATATATTTATATATATATATATATATACAGATATTCAAAAAATTATTTTTCCTTGGTATAGGGATAAAATAAAATCCAAATTCAAATGATAAACTCAAACTTTTATCTAAAGCGCTTTCGCCCCATGCGGGCTCATCAGTAGATTTGAAATTGTAAACAAGTTACATTATGACGTCATTCTCGTGACATTATGTAGGCAACGTTAAACATAATGACTGTGACGTAATAGTAATCACATTTAAATGAGGCGCACAGATAAAGTTTTACAGTTCATCTGATCAAAGTTAAGCGCCTATTATAAATGTACAATAATGGAGACATTTTATATAAAATGTACATAATAAAATAATTTGATATAAATTCCTTTTAACAGTTCAATTTTGGTTTAAACAGATTTATAAAATATTGTTCTTTGGCTTTCCGTAATTGTTCATTTTCCTCTTTTATTTTGTAAAAAGGAAATATATAAAAATGTCCTTTGCCACAAGAATCAAAGTGTTCACTACATGGCGTGTTTCGTATGGTCGGATCCTTAATCTGTTGTTTGTGCACGCGAACACGGTCGGCTAATTTGGTTCCGGTTTGTCCTATATAATTTTCCTCACATGTAGGACACGTCATACAGTATATAAGGTTTTTAGATTTACACGTCATAGAAGATTTAACTGTCAAACTTCATTCCGTTTTTAAAAATAATGGTTTGTCCGGTTTTTAAAACTTGACAGGTTCCGCATCGTGGATCCTCGCACTTAGAAACCATCGGTTTCTCGGGGTTCGATGTAAATTTGGCAGTGGTAAGAATCTTTTTCAAATTGGGAGGTTGACGCCTGCTGTGTAGTATATCCTTTGGTTTAATAAGGTCCCTTAATGTTTCTGATTGTTGAATAATAGGGAAAAATTGTTTGGCAGTTTTAAAGATGTTGTGATTTCTTGGGTTGTGGGTTAGAACAAAAGGGATCTTTTCGTTGTTCTCCTCTTCGTGATGTCTAATAGTACGTAATTCGTTAATGGGTATTTCCTTTGCCTTTTGTATAGCAGCCTCAATTAATTTTGATGGATATTTTTGTCTAGAAAAAGAAAAATTCTTAGTTCACACAGTCTTGTATTTCTGCGATCCTCATCAATAACAATAGTACAAATTCGCCTGGCCATATTGAATGGGATGTTTCGTTTAGTATGGGAGGGATGGCATGAGTTGAAAATCAAATATTGATGGGAGTCTGTGCTCTTGTAATAGAGATCAGTTATGATTTTTCTTCCCTCTTTTATAATAAGAATGTCTAAAAATGGCAATTTGTTTTCACTGATTTCCATTGTAAAATGCATACTTTCATGGAGCCGATTTAGAATGCTGTTAAACTGTTGTAGATCTTGTAGAGATTTTGTCCAAAAAATAAAACAGTCATCTAAATAACGTTTCCAGTTTCTTTCAATGTATGTACCAAAATCCTCTCCAAAAAATGTTTTGCATTCTGAAAAAAGTTTTTCCTCCAGAAAACCTAGAACGAGAGTTGCGTAGGTAGGGGCGACTTTTGTCCCCATTGCTGTCCCTTTTGTTTGTAGATAGTACTTGTCATCAAAAAAGAAATGATTATTTTGCAAAACTATTTTAAGTCCTTCGAGGATAAATTCTTTTGAAAATCTCGGCTGGATTACATCTGGGTGCTTGTCAATCCAAAAGGAGATGGCTTCTAGTCCTAAATTGTGGGGAATATTTGTATATAAACTAGTAACATCAAAACTCACTAATTTCGTATTTTCTTCAACACTTTCTGGAATATGGTTGAGAAAATCCATGTCGTCCCGAATAAAACTGGGTACTTATTTGCAGAAAGGTTTTAGTATAATATCTAGCAAATTGCTAAGTCTCTGTGTTGGACAAGAAGGACCAGCTACAATAGGGCGTAGTTTTAAGTCTGTTGGACGTGGCAATTTAATATAAGGTTCACTCATTTCCTGTATTCCGTTTTGAATTTGTTTAGATTTATGAATTTTCTGTAATCCGTAAAAGTTACTAGTTTTTACTTCAAAATTTAGAAGAAAATCTATCTCCTTTTTGGTTAAATTATCGGAAAATTTTGAAGTATATTTTTTCATTGTAGACATCGTCTTCTTGTCTTCATTCAAAGGTAGTTCCTTGTAAAAGTTTATATCATCTAGTTGTTCTAGGACCATATCTTTGTAGTGTTCTTTGTCCATAATAACAATAGTTCCTCCTTTGTCAGCCTTCGGATTACAATGACGAATCCTTAGTTCGAAACAAAAGTAATTTTAAACCAAAATCAAACAGGGACAAACACTTGGACGATTACATTAATTGTTTGAAAAAATCTGCATACAACAATCACAGCGATATCCGTGTGCAAGATAACATCTCAAAAATTGAGAGAACAGCACTGAAAAATATTACTGGTGACGATACTATTATCATAAAAGAGGCTGACAAAGGAGGAACTATTGTTATTATGGACAAAGAACACTACAAAGATATGGTCCTAGAACAACTAGATGATATAAACTTTTACAAGGAACTACCTTCGAATAAAGACAAGAAGACGATGTCTACAATGAAAAAATATACTTCAAAATTTTCCGATAATTTAACCAAAAAGGAGATAGATTTTCTTCTCAATTTTGAAGTAAAAACTAGTAACTTTTACGGATTACCGAAAATTCATAAATCTAAACAAATTCAAAACGGAATACAGGAAATGAGTTAACCTTATATTAAATTGCCACGTCCAACAGACTTAAAACTACGCCCTATTGTAGCTGGTCCTTCTTGTCCAACACAGAGACTTAGCAATTTGCTAGATATTATACTAAAACCTTTCTGCAAATAAGTACCCAGTTTTATTCGGGACGACATGGATTTTCTCAACCATATTCCAGAAAGTGTTGAAGAAAATACGAAATTAGTGAGTTTTGATGTTACTAGTTTATATACAAATATTCCCCACAATTTAGGACTAGAAGCCATCTCCTTTTGGATTGACAAGCACCCAGATTTAATCCAGCCGAGATTTTCAAAAGAATTTATCCTCGAAGGACTTAAAATAGTTTTGCAAAATAATCATTTCTTTTTTGATGACAAGTACTATCTACAAACAAAAGGGACAGCAATGGGGACAAAAGTCGCCCCTACCTACGCAACTCTCGTTCTAGTTTTTCTGGAGGAAAAACTTTTTTCAGAATGCAAAACATTTTTTGGAGAGGATTTTGGTACATACATTGAAAGAAACTGGAAACGTTATTTAGATGACTGTTTTATTTTTTGGACAAAATCTCTACAAGATCTACAACAGTTTAACAGCATTCTAAATCGGCTCCATGAAAGTATGCATTTTACAATGGAAATCAGTGAAAACAAATTGCCATTTTTAGACATTCTTATTATAAAAGAGGGAAGAAAAATCATAACGGATCTCTATTACAAGAGCACAGACTCCCATCAATATTTGATTTTCAACTCATGCCATCCCTCCCATACTAAACGAAACATCCCATTCAATATGGCCAGGCGAATTTGCACTATTGTTATTGATGAGGATCGCAGAAATACAAGACTGTGTGAACTAAGAATTTTTCTTTCTAGACAAAAATATCCATCAAAATTAATTGAGGCTGCTATACAAAAGGCAAAGGAAATACCCATTAACGAATTACGTACTATTAGACATCACGAAGAGGAGAACAACGAAAAGATCCCTTTTGTTCTAACCCACAACCCAAGAAATCACAACATCTTTAAAACTGCCAAACAATTTTTCCCTATTATTCAACAATCAGAAACATTAAGGGACCTTATTAAACCAAAGGATATACTACACAGCAGGCGTCAACCTCCCAATTTGAAAAAGATTCTTACCACTGCCAAATTTACATCGAACCCCGAGAAACCGATGGTTTCTAAGTGCGAGGATCCACGATGCGGAACCTGTCAAGTTTTAAAAACCGGACAAACCATTATTTTTAAAAACGGAATGAAGTTTGACGTTAAATCTTCTATGACGTGTAAATCTAAAAACCTTATATACTGTATGACGTGTCCTACATGTGAGGAAAATTATATAGGACAAACCGGAACCAAATTAGCCGACCGTGTTCGCGTGCACAAACAACAGATTAAGGATCCGACCATACGAAACACGCCATGTAGTGAACACTTTGATTCTTGTGGCAAAGGACATTTTTATATATTTCCTTTTTACAAAATAAAAGAAGAAAATGAACAATTACGGAAAGCCAAAGAACAATATTTTATAAATCTGTTTAAACCAAAATTGAACTGTTAAAAGGAATTTATATCAAATTATTTTATTATGTACATTTTATATAAAATGTCTCCATTATTGTACATTTATAATAGGCGCTTAACTTTGATCAGATGAACTGTAAAACTTTATCTGTGCGCCTCATTTAACTGTGATTACTATTACGTCACAGTCATTATGTTTAACGTTGCCTACATAACGTCACGAGAATGACGTCATAATGTAACTTGTTTACAATTTCAAATCTACTGATGAGCCCGCATGGGGCGAAAGCGCTTTAGATAAAAGTTTGAGTTTATCATTTGAATTTGGATTTTATATATATATATATTTCTGTATCGAGGAAGAATAGTCAGCTCATTTCAGAATAAAATGAATGTTAATATTAAATAACTATTTTCTCTAACTCCCTATAGCAACTCCAGGAAGACTGGGGTCTGGGGAGCTTTTTCTCAAACCAACCTAACATTGTAGAAATGATTAAAAAAACATCCAGGTAATTCTCACATTCTTTAATGCAAGTTTAAAACAATTTTCAACAACGAAAGCCACACCTTTCAATCCTGTGTTTTAGAAACAATCCAATACAAACACTTTCTATTGCATGGAAACCAATTTAAAATCAACTGACTTTGTTATCTTAAATACATAAGAATTTTATTCAGTGAATATCATTCAACATCATGGTGAAACCAGCTCTCAATTGATACAGAGAGACATCCAAAAACAATTAATTTTCTTAAGTATTTTTAAAGCAAAAACAGCTAAAGGCAATTTTAGCTTGGTATTTTCACTGCCAACTCATAGAAAAAAGTCTAAACCAACTGTCTTAAACTCTAGAAACACACCAATTTCAGAAAAAAAATGAAAAAGACAGATTCTCCATAATAGATTGATTTGTTTTTATGTCATGCATATACAGTGACATGTAACTTTGAGTCCAATAACGTATAGTTTCATTTTAGAGCTACAAATAAGGTTCATCTTTATTTCTAGGATTCCTAGATTTAAAGATGAACCTTATTTATCCTTGTAGGATTCAAATTCAACTCTGAGATGTGGCAAACTGTGCTTTGAACGAGATCCTGTATTAGAAATAATCCAAAGTTGCCTGTTGCGTTAATGCAATGGAAAAAAGATCTGGTTGAACCCTCACCACAAAATAGCCACAAGTGCCTATTTGAAACATTCAAAAGCAACTTATGGCTCCCAGTAAGAGAAATATTTTTTTGGAAATGTTAAGTAAACAACAACCAAATAGAAATCTTATTGCATTATCTAAAGGAATCTTAATAAAATTCACAGAATGTTTCATTGACTAAGAAAATTTATGAAACATATAACAGGTAATCATAAAGAGATCAAAATGGATCTTTTGTGAATATGCCATAATGAATAAGAGATTATTCAGATGCGAAAATATATCACATCTGTGCAGTTGTCTATACTTACATGACATTAAATATAACTCCTGATACGGCAGTAGCCAGCATGTAGGTGGGCTCTACAGAAGTGTAGTCTCCTGTCACAATCCTCTTACCCGCTGTGTAACACAGTACCCCCGTCACCAACCAAATCATCAAAATGCTGATCAGTGCTCCTAGTACCTCTGTAGGGAAAAAAAAACTAAATTACTACAGGAATAAAAATATTGCAAAGTTCTTTCCCCAAATACCACTCCTCTGTTTCGCACATTTTGCACAGACTGCTGATTCAAAGTATCAATTTAAGCTGAATTTCTAATAAACTAATCTAGGAATCTTTTTGAAGGAATGTGTACAAGTTTACAGTGGATGAATGTCAAGGTCACTGACTATAAATGATGTGTCAATCACAAGACTAGGTCAAGTTGACCCTTGACAGAAAACTCTAGGTCTCCAACAATACTATTACCTGAACCTACCTATTCTGTAGTATCCCATGGACATCTTCTTTGAAGCTGGTTTTGTTGAGAGGTAGAGAGCCAATAAGCTGATGAGGAAGCTAATGAGATCACTAGCCAGGTGAGCAACATCAGTAAACAAAGCAACACTGTGTGAGAACACACCACCTAGAAGTGGAGCAAAACCTTCACAGAAAATGGTGGTTTACTTTAAGTGTTATTATGATAATAATAAGGGCCAAAATTCTCAGCAGCCAAATGTGCTGTAGTCTATTTACGTGGAATTAGTTCCTACCTTTATTTATTATAAATACCATAATATTTATATTCATTACTATGATGACAATATTATTTTCTAAGAATAAATGTTGCATGGCAGTCAGATTGAGCTAATTTAAATGAATTCTTCCATTTTTGGCAAAATTTACCTACATGTGCCATATGATATTATATTAATCTTGCATTGCCACAAAAAATATGTGTTTCACTTTGTCAATCATGAGTGTCTAGCCTAAGGCCATGACCACAAAGTACTGTCTGCATGGGCAAGCTTTTCTTTGAAACATTTTATGAACAGCACAAATAAATTAAGTGAACATACATGTACCTCTCACTATATTGTTACATAATAATATTTACACATTTATTATTTAAAAAACATAAGAATGATTATTAATTCTGATGAAATTCAACTTTTGCATTATAAGTTATTTAAATTATTTGCATATGATGTTAATTACAAAAATATCAACAAGAATAATTGTTGTAACAGGACAGTCTATCCTAGCTTATACGCATTCAGTATAACAATACAACCTACCGATAATTTCCCCTATCATGAAGATAACACAGATAACACTGATAGCAATCAGCTGATTCCTGGCCACCCTATCCACCTGCGCAGGTGTGTCCTGGTGACAGTGCCACATCGCGTCCTCCTCCTCCATTGGAATCATAGTTCCATTCTGATGACCATTATATTCACTATAAAGTCCATCAGAATACGTGGACAGCAGTCTGTCACTTTCCCTAGAATCAACATCGTTTCCAATGACTCTTTCATCACCTATTTCTGTCGGGGGGATTTCCTGTTGTGCATCTTCCAGTAAATCGAGTTTAGGCATCGTAGAATCACGTGCACTATCCCATATAAATTCGTTTTCGCTGTCACTATCTTGAAACAATAAATCGTCACGCTCCGCCTCCCTCGGCCACAGATGATTTGACGTTTCTACATTATAACTATCTTCTGCCTTATCGACCTCAGCACTGACAAATGGGCCGATCTCCATAGCTGGCCCGGGGTTGTTTGTATCACGTGCTGTGTTTTCTGTGTGTTTTTGCGTCGTTTGTACAAAGTTGTAAACACTGTTTTCTTTTGACGACATCGGATTGGTCAAATCATCCAAATTGCCACGATTTGACCCTTCCGCCATTTTGAACTGATAAGAATCACGTGGTCAATCACATGATTTTGAAAAAATGATGTTTCGTTTCGGCGGTAAGATGATCAACAAAGAGAGAGAACTCTTATTGCTCAAGAAACGGTTGATTGGAAGAAAAAACTCAATCTAATGTAAATCGTCTGTTTAATGGGTTACGTTTACTATGTTCTCCGCCAGTAAACAAAAGAGTATCAGAAGAGCTGATTTTAATCAGACTGAGGAAATTTAAAAAAGGAACAAGATGCTTATGACCATGGGCCACATCGCTCACACCGTATGAGCACACGTATACTTGCTGTGGCTAGGATTGATTTATTGATCGTATGTTGTTTAACGCCCCTCTCAAGAATTTTTCGCTCATATGGAGACACCACCAGTTTCCGGTGGAGAGCTGTAAATTTTGCCCTATATTCGGCACTTACGGCCATTGAGCAGGGAGGGTTCTTTTTCGTGCCAGCACCAACTGCGACACGGTCACGGGACCGGTTTGCTGTAATTGTAGGTCTCATCCGAAGGACCAGTCTACACGTCCCACAGTGGGATTCGAACCCGTGACACTGTGGCTAGTACTGTGGCTAGGATAAAAGCAAATAAAATCAGTTCCGCATCGACAAGTTTAAATGAATTGTACAGTACAACCCCTTAAATCATTCTAAAGAAGAAGGTTTTATTTTTAAATCTAAATATAACGTTAGACCTATATTCCAAGGTAAAACTTGCATTGTGGTACCACTTTACCCCCCGGGTCAGTGATTTGAGCAAATTTGAATCTACAAAACCTGACAATAATTCCATACGAGGTTCATCTTTCTTGGCACAGCGATTCCCGTGAAGATTTTAAAAAGATGCCATTATTTTTTTTACTCATTCGTAGTCATCTTCCCTATACCCATCCACTCCCCGGTTCCGATGCCTACGGTGTACTAACCATATTTGGGCCCCTCAAAATTTTTTGCAAAGAAGACATATAATTTATAGGCATTGAAGACGACTGGTGTGTATTTTTACACCCCTCCCCTTTCAACAGGGACGTTGCTGTAGCTCTGCACAAAATTGTACTCTCTGCTTGAGAAAATTCGGAGAGATAAAGCAGAGAGCTACAGATCCATGCATTGCAAAAACCGATTTATGCCGCCGATTTTTTTTTGAGTCGCTCACCTCTGGTATTATTTCTTGTAGTTTATACCTTCCTTTGCTCTTAGAATGGTATCCGATCATGCGGGGATCTCGAGCCCCCCCCCCCTGAAATTTGCAGAGTTATTAAATGTATATACTAAACCAAGTAAACCATGTAAAAGTGACCTTGGACCCCCTAGAAAACGGTGACACTTGCTGTGGCCTTCAACTCGACATTTAGATACATCGACGACGACGTATATTGTCAATTAACAATGGTTATTTCCATTCTTATGTTGATACGATATATGCCGGTGGGCTTGAGATAAAAAATTCCACGGAGTCAGACACATCTGTTTCATATTTGGGATATTTTACTCGAAAAAGACGTTACTGGTAATCTAATTAACCAAACTCTATGTATGGCACGCCAAATTCACAAAAATGAGCTAAACATAGTTTCACAGTCGATAAACTATGTTTATCGCTTGTAAACTATAGTTTACGGACTGTAAACTATAGTTAACGACGTTAATCTATATTTTACATTAATTTTGTAAAACATAGTTAACGCGATAATCTATGTTTCAGAACCGTAAATTATACTTAACACTGTCCAAAAACAATCATTTGCGATTGCAAAACATAGATTATCTGATAAATACAGTTTCACGATTTGTAAACTATGGTTTACAATACAACTCTTAACAACCGTTAAATATAGTTTTACAGACGAAAACTATAGTTAACGAATTGTTAACTATAGTTCACTGTTTGTAAACTATAGTTTACAGTCGATAAACCTAGTTTATCAACTGTGAAACTATGTTAGCCCATTTTTGTGAATTTGGCGTGCCATATCTGTGATAAACGTGATGACTTTAACTTTTCTATCGTCAACTTCCCTTACTTATACAGCAGTATACCTTCATCATCTGCATACGGAGTTTATATATATCTCAGTTGATGCGAAACGTAAGAGCATGCTCTACGTATGAACAATTTCTAAAACGAGGTAAATTATTGACAAACAAGTTGATGAAACAAGAATTTCAGTTTTCTCGTTTAAAGTCATAATTTTGTAAGTTCTATGGTCGATACAATGATCTTCTCAGCAAATACAATTTATCATTGAATCAACTGCTGACTGACTCTTTTCATACTAATTGTTAGTCCATCATTTATACACTGAATTGTCGACGGATTTTTCCGTTATTTCCCGATCATGACAAGGAGCACACGTCGGGTGTGACCGGTCGGCAGGGGATGCTTACTCCTCCATGGAACCTGATCCCACCTCCGATGCTTTGGAGGACCGTGTTTGCTCTGCCCCTATTTTGTATTTTTTAATGGAATTTGATCTTGAATACTGTTCGTTATCTCCATATGTTTCATTTGAAAGTAATCCACTACTTTTTTTCCCACTACTTGCAATTTTTGAAAGGGGAGGGGGATTCTAGGGTGGTGTCCGCCGGCCCCTTCAAACATAGATTCACAGAGAAAAGTCCATGAAAATGATATCTTTTTTTTTTTTACATGCCTTGACTCTTTGAGGTTTGTACAATTAACGAATTTTTAAAATACACCAGGATCCAGTTTTACGAACGACTTTAAAGGAAATATAATTTTGCAAATAACTTTTTAAATTATTTTTTAAAAGGTATTTTCATGCAAACAAAAGAATCTTAGAATCTTCAAGAATTTGCAGTCAAGTTAAATTTGAGATTTTAGTCGATATTTCTTTTGTATAACGGGTCTCTGGCTCGTAGGAAGCAATTTCAGCTGGGTAAGGGGAGATAGCGTGTATGGTCAAAACCAGTATTTTGAGTCTAGGTAGAAACCTCTCTTTAGGCTTCTGTTATTTTATTTATTTATAACACTGTAGATCACTAAATTTTTGCGACACCTTATTTTCGCTAGATAGTCATTGAGTCTTGATAAGCGAGACAACATTTTCACGAATTGTGGTTATTGCTCTATATAATCTTAAGAAATGCTATTAAACGCGAGAATTTAATTTTGGCTAGCACACTGTCTCGCGAAATTACGTGAAAATAAAGTTCTCGCGAATCAAAAGTGATTTACAGAATATATGTATAACGTTTATTGGAGTCCCTTTTCTAAATACAACTATATTCACAAGGCGTTAAAAGTGGGCTTGGCTTAAAGATTTCATTTTTTCTTCAGTTTTCCAATTACAGAACAAAAAATTGCTTTTAAATTATTTTGTACTTTGATTCACGGAAAAAAAACTTATTTGACCGACTCCCCTATAACTAGTGATCACCAGATTAATTAAAGCAGTACATAGAGAAAGCTTTGTTGGAAAACATGAGGAGTTGGATACAGAACGAGACAAAAAGAAAGTAACTTTTATGTCCCAATCAGAACTGAGTTTTGGAGAAACTACACATTCCGACAACAGGGTATTTTGTCCTTTTCTTTTTATTAAATGTATATAGAGTTTTTATTATTGATACCTTTTACAATATATTATTTCGACTTTGACAGTTTTACATAATTGCATAACTTAGCTCTGTACAACATTAATTAATATACATGTATTAGTAAACACAAATTGGGCAGAGTTTCACAGATATTTGATTACAAATCAAAATAGGCTTCTAAATCCCTCTGCCAATCAATACTTGTACTTTGCATTGCACTCTTCCATTAATTTACGAATTAATAATATTCATTTTTAAACATATGACTACAAAAGCAGGTTTTAAAGGAATGCATTTCTGTCAAAAATACCAACTGTGTTTTCTTTCAATATTACCTTTTTCATATTTTTCACGAGGGTTTAAAAATGTTACAACTCATATTCAAAATATATAACAAAATTTGTTGCAAAAAAATATTGCACTACCCAGTAGTAATTAAATATTCGGATAAACATGATAATTTACAGAGTTATCCGTCCTTACTGATGGGTGAGCATCCTTAATGGAAATGCATGAAATATAAAATGGAAGTAAATGTCAACACACTATCAACATTTTTTTTTTCATTTCACATTCAAATGGACAGTTCTAAGCATATGAGCTATATCGTTAAGTGTCGGAAGACAGACATAGCAAATATACATATACAGTGGAGCCTCGTTTATCCGGACGCTGTAGTTCCTACCCGGTAGTTAATTAAATTGTCCGGATATGTGAAGCGTCCGGATACCTGAATTACCAGTTAGATAAGACAAAATAACGCTTAAAATATCCGTTCCGATGAAAAGTCGTCCGGATACTGAAGCATCCGGATATCTGGCGTCCGGATATCTGAAGGTCCACTGTATACGCCCCAGCCATATTTATGGCGGGGCATAAAAGGTATATACGATTGATATTAATTCTTACGAGGGCTTTCGAATGATATCATTATTTACATGTAATAAGAAAAAAAGAATCAAGGCATGTTTTAGTTCCAATTATTCAACGATATTTCTTAAAGAGATTCTAACGGAGATTACCTTTTTTTTACCAGAAACAAGAAGCTGTCCTCTTTTCTGGAATTTCAATCATTATGAAAGTTATTTTTTAAATCCTTTGGAATCGAACCCTCCATAATTATTTTGAAATTCGTACAGAGTTTCTCTTAAGATTAAATTTTTTGTCCTAGTGATTCTTATGAATAACATTTTTAAAAGATAACATTAAATTTTCAAATTTCTTTATCATCTCTGCTAGGAAAGAGGAGCGGCCGTTCATTTCATTTGAACAAATTTAAATCCCCTTCATCCAAGAATTTGGTTGAAATTGCCCCAGTGGTACTGGAGAAGGAGATGGAAATATGAAAAGTTTACAACGACGATTTTGGATCAGAAAACCTTACTTTAGCATTCGGCTCAGGCGAGCCAAGAAAGCATGAACACTAAAATCCAATCGAATC